ACCTGCAGCTTGCCATTGGTAATGAGGAGGAGTTGGAGGGGCTGGCCAAGTTGCTTCTGCCATGGGCAGTGTCCTGCTCGACTGGACAAGAAAGAGCAAGACGCAAGTCAAAATGGAAATTCAGGGGTTTATTGCTGTTTCCTGTGAAGAACTTCTTTGACCTTACTTAGGTGGTTTTTATTAGTCAGCAAAAACGAGTGTGGCCGGAGACATATAAGAACAGGTGCAGACATCCTATTTCTCTAGTGTAGCTCAACCCTTTTGGGTGTTAGGCTGTTCTGAAACTAGTTGTACATCCAGTGGACATCTCGTTCGTGAAGTAGCCCAGTCTTCTTTTGAGCATGTGCTTAATTAAGTCTTCCCTGCATCTTCTTAGTTTGTTGTTAATCACTACATCTGTCAACATAATTAAAGCTTAATGAATTCCAATTGAGCTTCTAAATGTCACAGTCTCTTCTAGCAAATATTTTGTCATTTTATTTCATTTTATTTTTCTGTCCTGTGTGATTCATAAGTCAATTATTTTAGTAAGTAACACTGAATAAACCTTTGCTCTTTTTGTACTATCATCCCTTGTGGGAGCCTTTCGTTTCTGTTGCTGCAAGCTTATGAAGAATGTATTTATCAATTAATAGGTTTCTGTTGCTGCAATTTATGAAGAATGTATTTATCAATTAATATGTAAAAAATTGAGTTATAGGAATTAACCACAATTACTAAATTTTGATTGTGAAGGGAGTTATTTTGGCAGATCATCATTTTATGACAACTATGAAAATCTTGGCCTGTTTTGAGGTTGACATACCCTTTGCTTTTAGTGTGACCGTGATTTTCTTCCAAGTAATAAACACCAGTCTCTTCTTTGTACTGGGATTGTTTCTTAAAATGTTACTTTAAAGGATTTAAGTTGTAAATCAGGGGTTTGGAGATTGTAGGAACGGTGAGTTATGTAAAGCTGGATAAAGTTGCTTTTTTCTCTCTCTGTAGGTTATTAATCCTGTGTTGCATTTGATTGTGGGGAATTGACCTTAATGTAATAAAAGAGTGAAATGTTGGTAAGGTTCATGAAAATGTCAGGAAGGTGCATTCATCTTTAACCCTACAAACGTCTAGCGTCATATATCTTCTTTTGTTACACATACATTAGATTTTTTTCATGTAGTTTTGAAAAGCTTTACAGTGAAAACTTATTACTTAAGAAACTTGCAATTTTTAAAAATCGTTATTTAGTTAAACAGCTGTTGGTAACTCTAGTTTGTTACATGTAATCTTTACCATTATGCATATTTGTATGTATGTAATAGCTTTGAATTTAAAAAAAGTAAATTTGAAGTTTTCTTAGGGTTGGGTTTTTCTTTGGGTTTTTTTTAAACCTTTTACAGGAAAGCCTTTTTGCATGTAAAAATTAGGAGATTGAAAATCTGAATGTTTCCAAAATCAAATCATCCTTTCTGATCAAATAGGTAATTTATTGAAGTTGGGTAATTACTTGCTTTAGTAAATGTTGAAAGGCTCCTTATTTAGACTGTAGCTGGCATAAAGCTGAGGGCCCACCAGGTGGTGCTGGTGGAATATATTTAATGTTGGTTTAGCTACTTAAAATGTCTTAACCAATGTGAACGAGATGGGTATAGTATAGGAAAACTTACTTTCTATGCAATGAGCTTGTTTGTATAGTTAAAAAGATTCTTTACCTGCTTTGTTTGTTAATTCCAGGGGAAGTTTATGAAACTTGTCCATTCATGTACTAGAATCATATCCTATCATAACCATGTGCTTATTTACCTATTACATATTGACTTTACTAAAGAGCTATTTTGCTATTTAATGTTGTTTTAATTGCAAACATTTGGGTTAGTGCAAGAATCTTTCCTCTTAAGGAATGCACAGAAATGTGGGTGTCATTTTATGAGGGGGTGGGGGAGTCAGGTTTTCTGTTTTCATGTATTGTGTGACTTAAAATGTCAAAATAGAAACAAATTCTGAAATACAGAAGGTTTTAGATATAATTTCACCAACTCTTATGAAATCTTTGACTGTCTTGAAAATTGTGTCCTTTATGAGAAGGGGAAGGAGGGATTGAAGAACAGCGTGAACCACAGTAGTTTGGAGTAAATACCTATCACCTAAGTTGAGCAGGTTTGGTTTTGTCGTCTTGTGCCCTGACATAAAATAGGTGTATTATCTGATGAGCACAATATAGAGCACTTTGCAACATTAAATTAGTTTAAATTGTTCTATATAGCATCCCTCTTCTCAAGAGAATTATTAGAATCTGGAAAACAAATGAAATGTCAGTGAACCAAAGTTGACTGTCTCCTGTCTAGTCAAAAAACAAAATCTAGAAAAACTGCAAACAATCCCCAAACCTATTTTGCTTGCAATCTTAGTATTTTGACCAAGCTCACTGTAGGTAAATACAAGCTAAATCAAACCACATGACAGCCACTAATAATACTGTAAAAGTTTGGTTGACTATGGGTGAATGAACCAGAAGATGGTTTCTTTGGAGTTTGTGGCCTTATGTGTTTAATCTGGGTAACAAATTTATTTAATGTCTGGGTTTTACTGTCTTGGGCACTGCACTATGGGGTTCTGCATAAGCAGAAATTCTTCCTCCCCTTTTCCATGTCTGCTACACCAAATACTTCGTAGAATAACTGCATGCATATACAAAACCATCTCAGAGTGGATGTTAAATGCCCAGTGTATGCTGCTTCTGAAAGTGCTATTTTATATCTTGTTTACTTGCTTGAGATGATTTTTTACTTGGCTTCTCCCGTTCTCCTCCCCGCAGTGTATAAATATTCTTGCTCTCGAGGAAAGGAATGTTTCTGTCTCCCATCCTGAGTTTTAAAGTTTTTTTTGCTCATTTTAGCAGGGAGTTTTTTGTACTGCCTACGTTAAATTTTGGCGCAATTCACATATTACCATAGAATGATATTATTATTGCAATCCTTGGCTTTTTGCAAATGGTCAGTGTAGCATTAATGAGAGTCAATAAAACGTCAAGTGTGTTAAAATTCCCATCCAGGTCACATTTTTTTTTTCGCTGCACAAAATACTGGGAAGGGATCAAGCAATAAGCTGTGTGCAGTAATACAGTTTATAGTACAGCACTGTAAAAATGTGTGCAAAGCACTGAGTTGTTTGTTTTAATCTAAGTATATTATCCGTGTAATAAATTTAGAAACTGCCTATGAGAGGTAACTTTTGGTATGTTTGAACACAAAGATTGAAGAGTGATTAGTGAAAAGCTGTTAGAAGTGTGTTCTAACATATGTGGTTCTTTGGAAGCAATGTCCAAAAATGGAGCACTTGCCAGATGCTGCCTGTATAAGGCGTGAACAGGTTAAGAAATACTTTCTGCTGCATTGTTCTTTAAACTACTACTTCACCAGAAACATCAGGTTTATGAGTCCTCCATCAACATCTTTGTTGTTCAGCAGTTAGGTTTTTGTGATATGATCTTATTTCTGAACTGTGTGATAGGACTGGTTTATGAATGTCATCTGTGTTGAAGTAACACTCGTAATACTGAATCTTTTTAGAAGATCATGTATATAGTTTCATTTTCACTTGCCCCATTTGACTGGTCTGAGGATTTTTTTGCTCTGTTAAAGGGGTTGTTTGAATGAGTCTGGAGTTACAGTAATGCTCAAAAGGACACGATTTTGCCCTCTCTATTGAAAGAGCCAGTCTCTCTATTTATTGAAAGTAATATTGAAATTTCTTTTGAGTTTTGAGTAACTTTAAAATCTGACTTGTGTGCACAGCCCTCCAAATTCCAGTTCTGACTGGAGGAAGGGTGAGGAGGGAAATCTGTAAAGACAACAGTAAGAAATTCTTACCTTTTGTATTTGCATTTTGCACTATTTGCTATTACCATGCTTGCAACATTGAATGGGAATGTGTTTTATCTCTGAGCTGTTCTCCAGCATTTTCTATAGGGAAGGCTTCTACATATCAATTTCTTTATTTAAAAATTTGACCTACTAAATTTTCTTAAAAGGAAAATTTATAGTCCACATTTAAAACTATATAAAGCAAAATTATGGCTTTTACTGAAAGGTTTGTTTTTTAAGGACTGTGTTTTCTTGTGGCAAAGATTAGACTGTTCTAAGAGTGAGATAGTAAAAGTAAAAATAGTTGTGAAACTGATAGTATTACCCTCTAGTGTGGTAGCTGTATAATGCCTTAATTATCAACCTGAAATTCAAGTTCTGTTGAAGTTATTTGAAGAAATATACTGTTGATTCAGTGGTGTCAAAATTTCACAACTGAAAATAAACTTACTCTGTGAATACTTGATTGCCGTTTTTTCTTGAGTGGAACTAGAGCTCTCAAGGGTTTTTTAATTATTGTGATTTGAATTGGTGAGTTTATCATCATTACCGAATGAGTTTGAGGAGTACAGTAGATACATGATCTGTAGTTTAAGTTACCGAAGACATGCAGTCTGTGTTTTTCTTTGGGGATGGCAGTGAGAGCAGGGAGAAGACGATATTAAATGCCACTGAGAAGTGAGCTGCAGCTCTGTGGCTCGGTCTGCATCAAGCTGGGGGGGTTTGAGTGTTTTAGGCAGCTGGCTTGAGACAATGTGTGTGCACTTGGACTCATGTAGTAATTTAATGTTAGACTTTAGAATGTAGGTGTTTCTAATGAAATTAGCAGGTAGGTTTTGGTTTTGTTTAGTTCATTTTCTTTCTTTTTGTAAAGTTCGCTACACGAATTGTTATCATGCACAGAGGGTATTTATAATAGGGCCAGAACCGAAAAAGAATCAATGTTGCAGGTCAGGGAGAGATGTTTTGGCTGAAATGGAAACTTTTTCCTTTGTCTGTACTGTCTTACTTCTGTAAGTACTCAGTTAATTAAAAATATATTTAAATCAAGCTTTTAAAAAAAGCCTCCAAATACTCAGTTATGTTACTGCCAAAACTTTCAGTTGTGTTGTTCAGTTGTATGGTGTTTTGATTATTTGCCATTTTCTTTTTCAGCATTGTCAGTGAAGCAGGAGCATCGATCTACAGTGTCAGCCCAGAAGCATGCAAGGAAATGCCAGACCTAGACCCTAACCTCAGAAGTGCAGGTATGAAGAGTATTTAATTTTATCACCACTTCAACATGGTATTCAAGTCTCAGTTCTCAGACTGTATTGTTTATAATATTAACTGTAATAGTAGTCAAAATATCAAAAGTTTTGGATGTTTTATTTCTAAACTTTATCCTTCTGACTTTTCACATTTGAAGTCCTAAGTATGCACATTAATGACATCATCTTTTACTAACCTGTAATGTAAAGACCCTTGTGGATGTATTCCTTCCATAGGCTGGTATAGGAGAATTTATAGCCATTAATATAACCAATGAATTGCACAAACTTTCACAGTTGCACATGTCCGTGCCCACAAGAAGTAGACCTTTCTTCTCTTCTCATGTCCCTGGTGCGCACACAAATATCTCTAGCAATAATTAAGACATTCAAGGACTCGGAAAAATAAAGTAAGAATAGAACAGATAATTTAAAGGTGTGCGTTCAGTGTGATCACTGAAGTCTTCATGTAACTGAATATAGTCCTCAAGAATTACTGGTTAGTTTTACTTTTTTTAAAAATTAACTCCTTCAGCATAAATGTCGTCGAAGTATAATATGGCTCAAGTTCTTAGAAATGTGCAAGTGTTGCCACTATTATAGTTTTCAGTGTTTGGTGAAAGAGTAGTCTTCAATGATCAAATTTCTAGCAGCTTTGTCAGTGTCCAAATTATACTTGTGGCTTTGGAAAGACAGCAGGTTTGAGGTAATTTTTTGATTCCTTCATTTATGTATATTTTCTTGTGTCTTCTTGAATTTGTTTTTATCTACCTCAGTTTTTTATGTTCTTGGGTTTCCTGCAATTTGCTGTAATAATCAAATACAGCATATTAGAAAATGCGGCAACACTTGTGTATTAATCTTTTCCAGTAAACTTATAAATATTCTTGATTTTAATGTTAGTCTAGAGCAGCAGAAAACCATTCTGAAGTTAAATGGTGTTCAGGGGTAAAACTTTGTAGAATTCTCCATGTTCCCCTTGCTTCATTTTTCCACAAAAGGGAAAAAGTGATTTGTGTTAACTCAATGCTTCAAATGAATGTTTTGACAGGAATATAGTAATATTCATGTCTATATCTGCCCCTCCATTTACAGGACAGGCCTCTAGCTTCTTTTTGTTTTTTCCACAAAAGGGAAAAAGGGATTTGTGTTAACTCAATGTTTCAAATGAATGTTTTGACAGGAATATTCTTGAAATGTCTATATCTGCCCCTCCATTTACAGGACAGGCCTCTAGCTTCTTTTTGCTTGCCTCTTTGCTCCCTGCCTGCAAACAAACTGTGATTAATTCTTCCCTGGGCCACAGAGGTTTTGACTGTGTCATGGTATGGCCAGAGCAAATATTAGACATGTGGCATTTCTGTATTTGTGACAGATGGCACTAGCTTTCCCTTGGGCCAAAGTTTTTTATGTAGTAAATGTGTGTTTAGAGTTGATGTAAATGAACAAAAAAACACTGAAAAGGAGGAAATCTAATTATTAACATTTGCTTTTCCAGATGTACATGATTTTCCTTTATCTGAAATTAATTTTTCAACATTTCAGACACTTTTATTTTGTGTTGTGTAACAAATACAGTAAATGAAAATCAAATTTTTAGTACATGACCAATTTCAGTATTAATTGCCAAGAGTTCATAATTTCTTCATTACTGCTAGGATTTGCTTCAGGCATAACTTAAGTGCTGTTGCATCTGGTTTGAAAAGTATCAGCAATTTTAACATGCCACAGCAATACCACAGAGCGGATAGAAATTGAAAAAGGACAGGATAGAAAGTGAAAAATAATTGCTTAGTTCCATGGATGTCAGCTGTTGTGAAACTGACAACTAGAACTGTATTTATTACAATTGAGTCTTTCTAGAATTTTAAGATTTTCTTCCTGATGTCTTTTGGTGTCAGTTTCTAATTAGTTGTGCTAAAGCTGTGGACATTTTCTTAAAGCTGAACGTAAAAATGTGACATAACATTAGAAGGAAACATTAACTGATGTTTGAGGTTTTTTGCACACTTTTTTCTTCACTGGGTTTTAGTGTTGTAGTTTTGATATTCTTTTAATTTGCAGCAAACAGAAAAGTGACATTGTGTCAAAGCCAGCTTGCTTTTTATTTTAATTGTTGTGTTACATCATGTCAGATTCTGTGCTTACACGATAGCATTTAGTACATTAAAGGAAGCTGACAGCTGCATGATGAAGTGTGACATTTATAGTTAAAATAAAAGGTACAACTGACGTGAGATATCTGTGATCTTAACGCTGTTTGCCATTTTAACATTTTTCTCAGCACAAACTTTATAGAAGGGTTTGGGATATTTTGAATTACGCAGGTAAGCCTATGTTTGTCCATTGGATACATAACTGTAAAATATTAAATAATGTATATTATATGAGAACTTTTACTTCTTGTGATATGATCTCTGGCATATTTGCAGCTGTGTTTAGCAACTGTTTGTAGTAAGTTTTTGCTTCATACAGAGAAATAGAAGACATCAATCCTGGTTAAAAAATTAGCTTATTAATTTCTCCTTGGCTGGGTGCTCTGTATAGAGGGAAAACCAACCTTTGGCATTTCTTGGGGGTGCTAATTAAAGGTATTAGTTGATCTGAGAACTCAACTGGTTATTACGTTTTTCCCTTTGAGCTGTCTTTGAAGGTCATGGATGACACAGGTTTGTTATAAATGATTGAGAAAGATATTTTTTAATTCATATTGTATATATAAACTATAGAGAAAAATCTCTGTAGTCATCCATGCAGCACTTGTAGCCAAAATTTCTTGGGGGCGATAATAAAAAAGAAGGTCTTTTCTTAAACAGTTTGCTCTTATCTACAGTGCAGAGTGTGAAATAGAGTGTCTCCAGCTTTAGAATTGTCCCAAAGATTTCATGAAAGTGCAGAAGCTTCTGTACTGCTACTCCAATTCCTATAAAATCTTGTGGAGTGGGACTTAGCTAAGTAGATAGTAAAGAACTTGATGAAACCTAGTTACTTGTGTTTGAGTAGAGTGAGAAGGTATATATCCCCTTCTGACAGTCATTGTAGGATTAATGAGCAGAACAGCTATTTCTCAGCCTCACAGAATTAGGAGATAAGAGGCTTACAGGCCAGAGCAATAAAAGGATTTCCTACTTGATAGGCTGAGGAAGTTCAGCTGCAGCAGATTAGGAGGGTTCTGCCTAGAGAACAAGCCACTGGAGTTCAGTAATGGGGGGTTTTGGATGAACCTGCGATAGGGTTGCAGTCTGACAGAGAAGGTAATACAAGGTTTCTTTGAATTCTCCTTCCCAAGAGCTGTGCCTGAGGACAGGCTGAATATTTGGGGTGGAAGCTTTTGTAGGGGAGAATGGACACCATTAAATGAGTACTTTCCAGGCCAAAAATGTTGATCACCTTTGTGAAGCTTATTAATATGAGCCCTATGAAGGCTTTGTGACTGCATTGCTCTGAGGTTAGTGGAATGGGAATGAGAAAGCTGCAAGGCTGGGTGGATGACTGCAGTTCTCTTTCTGCCCTGGCATGTGCCCTCTGGCCACCCTCTTGGAGAAGTAGTTAAATGTTTTATTTGGTGGAGTTTTCATAAAGCTGTCAAAGTCATATATATTTGGCTGTCCTGTTAATTTGTTGGGATTTAAACTTTTTATTTTTAAATTTATTTCTTTTCTGAGCTGCCATCAGCACAACACTTCGTATTTAACCTTTGGTTAGTTTTTATTCACAACAGCTTCAATAAGAGTTATGCACTTGAACTTGTCCATAAGGTCTTCTGGATAACTCTAGGTCTCTGTGATTGAGATTTGTTTGTGGTTTCTTTCAATGCAAGGCCTGGATGCAAGTTTCCCTTTGAAGTAGTTGTAAGTAGCAGTTCACTGGGCCTGGTACTTTGCTTTGCAAGTTTGCCAATAATTTGCTTACCATTAGTTATCTTTTGTTATCAGAGTGCATGAGATGTCTGTCTTGATGTAGTATTCTTTGCATGATTATTAGAAAAAAGCTAAACTCAGTAGTGACAAGCATTCCTCTTTCAAATAAATGGACTCTGTAACAATCAGTGCTGACCTGTTTTCAGTTGCTGTCACTGGGCCTAGATTGATATCTTTGTTTTAACTCCATCCTGCTCTGTATACTTTTGCCTGAGGGTTTATTTTGTTGTGCAGAGCCTTTATTCCTAATGAAAATAAGTTTTATAGAATGAGAAATAATGGAAGTCAGTGCAGGTGTCAACATGTAGACACTGCCAGGCTTTTTCTTATTCCTCTCAGTGCTTCTCCACTTCCTTGTTGTTGCCAATATTTGTTGGCTTGAGCAGGTTTGGCCAGACAAAATGGGAAGACTGTGGAGGGACAGATGAAATAGATAGAAAGTGTAAGCACATACGACTCGTGTTGAAGGATTGACATGCAGAAATATGGAATTTAGTACTTTCTGGAGGCGTGGAGACTTTTGAAGGCACAGTCAGCTAGTGGAGGTTTTGTAGTCCTTAGTATAAAAAAAGATAAATGATGCAGCAATTGTTTGGCTTGTGCTCACAACAGAAGTGTTTTTTCCCTGCTGCCTTTCTACCTCTTGAAGTAGATATCATAATGAAATGAATATTGCTTAATAACTAAGAAACAGAAAACTGATGAATTCTAGTGAAACAGTAGCCCAGTGGTGGAGAATCACTATGAGGCAGTAGTCATGCTGGGATTCGATACAGTCATTCTGGTTTCAATATACATAGTTATGTTAAATAAGAAATGTCTTTATTTCATTAAATTGATGACTTACCTTTCATTTTCAGATGACTGCTCTAACAAATAAGCCATCCTTTTTTTCACTATTTAGAAAGCAAAATAAAAGGGGGGAAAGAGGGTTAAGTCTTAGACGTCATGTTTGTGTGACCACTTGTTAGAAGAGACCACATGCTGAATCTCTCTGATTTATTTTCATACCTTAATGCAATCATATGCATTTGGTTTTTAATTTCTAATTCTGTGTTCAGATGCTGAAAGAAGAGC